GTCTCATGGACTTTCCTGACCTGGCTGGCTTTGAACTGTAATCCTCCTGAGTAGCTAGAATCCTAGCTACTCAGACATGAGCCACTGGTGCCTGGGTTTTTTTGTTTTTTGTTTTGGTATCATTTCTGGGATAGCCTGAGCTTTTTTTGTTCAAGACTAGCACTGTGCGAGGCGCCGGTGGCTCATGCCTGTAATCCTAGCTACCCGGAAAGCTGAGATCTGAGGATCGTGGTTCAAAGCCAGCCCAGGCAGGAAAGTCCTTGAGACTCTTATCTCCAATAAATCACTAGGAAACCGGAAGTGCCACTGTGGCTCAAGAGGTAGAGTGCTAGCCTTGAGCTGAAGGCGCAGGGACAGCGCCCAAGCCCCAGAGTTCAAGCCCCATGACCAACAACAACAAAAAGTCTAGCACTGTACCATTTGAGCCATGCCTTCACCTTTGCCTTTTTGGTGGTTAATTGGAGATAAGAATCTCATGGACTTTCCTACAGAGGCTGGCATCCTCAGCTTCATGAATAGCTAGTATTATAGGTGTGAGCCTAGCTATTAACTTCTTTTTTTTTTTTTCCCCCGGTGCTATCTACCCTCTAATCTGACATTGTCTATATATTGGGTTTTCAGCAATTTCAGATTATAATTGGCTTCTTTTGGTGCTCTGTCACATTTTGAAAAAGATAACTTTTTATTGTGAGGGGCTGTTCAGGACATTGTAAGGTGTTTTGTGGCATCCCTATCTGGGCTCTACCCACTGAAGCCAAGCATCTTTCTTGTGAAACAAAAAATGTCTTCACATATTGCCATATATTCCTTGGTGATCAGAACCAGCAGTTGACCACCATTAAAATGCTTTTGAATGCTGTATCATTCTAATTATTTTATATGTAAAACTTAAGTGAAACCTAATAGTATGCTGTTCTTAATGTAGAGAAAAACCTATTTTCCTCTAATCTAATAACATATTAGTAATTAGTAGAAGAAAATATGCCATTTATAACTAAGCAATTTGTATTTCAACATGTAAATGAACTGTGACTACCTTAAAAATAGAGATAACTCCAGGAGATGGTTTCAACTTGTTTATAAATCTTGTTCCTATGCTACATGACTCTTCTCTATTAAGTATGGTTTGGATTTAGGCAACTCTGCCATTTGTTAGTTAGCTGTGTAACAATAATCACAGAATTTCTGCTTTAGAAAAAATTGAGTGTATAAAGTTGCTCTTCTGATTCTGTAATTATAAGTATATGGATTATTATTACTAATTATTATTGTTATTAGTTTATTTTTTGAGACAGGGTCCTGCTGTGTAGGCAAGCTGTGTTTTCGTGCTTTAGCCTTAAGTTCTAGGGTCATAGCTGAGTACCACTATACATGGCTTTAGAGCTATGGGTGGATTATTTAATCATTACTAAAATTTTGGAAGCTAGTTCTATAGGTAGAGCAGTGGAACCAGCCTATAAGTGGTAGAGCTGGGATTTAAATTCCTATTTAATTCTGGAGCCTGTTTTCTCAACAATTATTCTGCACTGCTTCTAATGAATACCTGATTAAAACATGGTAATACTTAATTTTTAGTTTTGATTATTATCCATTTCATTTTTTTGTAGCTTAATATTCTGGGTTTTTTTGGCCGGTCATGGGGCCTGAACTCTGGGTCTGGGCGCTGTCCCTCAGCTCTTCAGCTCAAGGCTAGTGCTCTACCACTGGAGCCACAGCGCCACTTCCGGCTTTTTCTGTTTATGTAGTGCTGAGGAATCGAACGCAGGGTCTCATGCTTGCAAGGCATGAACTCTACCGCTGAGCTACCTTCCCAGCCCTTTGTAGCTTAATATTCTGTCCTTGAAACTTTCACTTGTTGGTTCCTCCTTTCCTTAGGCATTCAGTTAATTTACCTATATGTACATAGAATAGCTATTTATCTAACTTCTTTATGTATAAGCCTCTTTATATATAAGCCTCATTTCTAAAAAAATCATAATAATGCATACAACTCTTGAAATAAAATAAAACCTTTGTGTTTTATTTGTTTATGATACTTTTGTGTGGATGTGTGCTGGTTCTGGGGCTTGAATTTGGGCCAGAGCTCTTTCCTTTAGCTTTTTTAATTAAGGGTGGCACTCTACCACTAGAAACACACCTCTACTTCAGCTTTTTGGTGGTTAATTGGAAATATGAACCTCATGAACTTTTCTGTCTGTGATGGCTTTGAACCTCAATCCTCAGAGTTCAGTCTCCTGTATAAACTAGGATTACATTTTTGATGAGTAATTCCAGGTATAGAATTAGAGAGATGAAGAAATAATTTTTATTCATTAAAGGACTGTGTTTATGAGGAGTTTGATTCATTTTACTTATTTATGTTTTGAGACAGAGTCTAAGTAGCCCAGGCTTGCCTGGAACTTTATGTAGCCTGGGCTTGCCTTGAACTTGTGATTCTTTTTTCTCTTCCTCCTGAGTGCTGTGATTGTAGGCATTAGTAGTTGCAGTCATCCCAGTTTGCATGTTGTTTACTATGAAATTAGCAAATGCTTATTGAACTCCTGCACTGGCTCCTGTAGTTCTAGTTGTTAGAAATGTAGTAATGAGCAAGATACATAATAAGGCCTCTAGGGCTGGGAAGGTGGCTCAGTGGTAGAGCGCTTGCCTTGCATGCCTGAGGCCCTGGGTTTGATTCCTCAGCACCACATAAGCAAAAAGAAAAAAGCCGGAAGTGATGCTGTGGCTCAAGTGGTAGAGCGCTAGCCTTGAGCTGAAGAGCTGAGAGGGACAGCGCCCAGGCCCAGAGTTCAGGCTCCATGACCGGACCGCCCCCCCCCCCCCCCCAAAAAAAAAGGCCTCTATTTCACTGAGCATGTATTCTAGTAAAGAACCATATTTAGATACTTAAAGAAATAAGCTTGGAGGCTGGGAAGGTGGCTCAGTGGTAGAGTGTTCACCTAGCATGCATGAGGCCCTGGGTTCAATTCCCCAGCACCACATACACAGAAAAAAAATAATAAAATTATTAAAAAAAAAAAAAAGAAATAAGCTTGGAGAGTGATTGAAAAATTACTTTGAGAATAGTAAAATTGGCCTGATTAAGAATTTGTTATCACCAAGCTCTAAATTAATTATTCTTGTAATTTCTTAAAAGAGAGTTTCAATATGTAGCTCAGGCTGACCTTGAACTTCTCCTGTCTCAGTGTACTGAATGATGGGATTTCAGACCTGTGCCTCCATGCCTGGCTTATTCTTGTAGGTTTTTTGTTTTTTCTTTGGTTGGTCATGGGGCTTGATATCTGGACCTGGGCGTGTCTCTGAGCTCTTCAGGTCAAGGCAAGTGCTCTGCCACTTGAGCCACAGTGCCAGTTCAGGTTTTCTGATGGTTAATTGGAGTTAAGAGTCTCATGGACTTTCCTGCCCTGGCTGGCTTTGAACTGGGATCCTCAAATCTCCTAAGTAGGTAGGATTACAGATGTGAGCTACCAGCACCTGGCTTTCTTGTAGTTTAAAAGTCAGATTGCTATAAGGCTGATTAAGAAACAGTTTTCAGGCTAAGCATTGTGTCTCAGGCCTGTAAATCCCAGCTACAAAGGAGATAGAGATCAGAAAGATTTCAGTTTGAGGACAGCCCAGCAAAAAGTGAGACCCCATCTTAACAGTCAAGCCAGGAATAGTGTTCCACTTTGTAAGCCTAGCTATGTAGGAGGTATTAACAGATTTGAGATTGGTTCCAGGCAAAGGCTGGAGGTAGTTGAAAAATAAAGCATAAAGTGCTGGGAGTGTGGCTCAAGTAGTTAGAGCATCTGACCTAGCAAACATGAGACCCAGAGTTTGAACCTCAGTAGTATTTAAAAAAGGAATTTGATACATTAAAATTAACCAATTTTAATCTTACAGACTCATGATTTCTCACATTCAATTCTGTAACAATCCCCCCTAATGTGTCCTGGAACTCTTATTCCCTGCAACTTTTACTTTCCTGTCCCTTTCCTCTTAATCCTCTTCTTACACTTCCAGAGAAGGGCTTTTGTTTACTGTTTGCCTCTGTAGCTTTGCTTTTTCTAGAATTTCATTTAAGTGGAATCATAGCATAGCTCTTGAGATTTAGCCATGCTGTAATTGCTGAATAATATTCTGTTGTATTGGTTATATCCATATTTGTCCATTTATGGTGGGCATTTGGGTTATTTTCAGCATTTGTTTCAAGTAATGGTTCTGTGAGCATTTCTGTATAAATCTGGCAGGACTGAGAGGTTGTATAAGTGCATGTTTGTCTTCCAAAGTGTTCCATTTTACATTAACCTCATCGGTTTTACCAACATGTATTATCTATCACTTAATAATAGCCCTGCTAGGGTATGTGTACATGTAATGGCATCTCATTGTGGATTTAGTTTGTTTTCTCAAATGTATTCTCAAACATTTTCATCTGCCTATTTGACATATATTTTCTGTGAAGAATGATGAAATATTTTGTCTTTACTTTTAATTGATTGATTGCTGATGCCCAATGCCTGTGATCCCAGTTTCATTCAAGGCTGAAGCAGGAGAATTGCTTGATCCCAGGAGTTCAAGGTCAGCCTAGGTAACATAGTAAAACCCTGTCTCAAAAAATGAAATTATAGCTGTGTACTAGTGACTTATGTCAGTACTCCTAAGCTTCTCAGGAGATTGAGATCTGAGGATTGAGGTTTGATGTCATCCAGGGCAGAAAAGTCAATGAAATTCTTATTCTTCCCCTGCAAAACAAACAAAGAATCCAAAAAACAAAACCTCCACATGTGGAGATGTGGCTCAGTGGTAAAACGCTAACCTTGAGCAGAAAATCCCAGCAAGAGCTCTAGGTCCTGAGTTTAGGTCCTAGAACCAGCACACAACACAAAAAATTTAAATTATTAAAAAAATATATATACTATCCCTTATCAGATGTTTCCAAGTATTTGCTCCTAGTCTCTTAGTTTTAATTTCTTTTTTTTTTTAAGTTACCAACTCTTTGTTGAACCTTCTATTTATTATAGTGCTAGAGAATGATTTAAAAGAAGCAGACATGATGCAGTATCAGGAAGTAATATGTGATGTCCCCAAAGAGATGCCCAGGTTGAAATACAAGGTACTGTTTTTTTGTTTCTGGTTTGTGTGTGTGTGTGTGTGTGTATGTATATGTGTGTGTGTGTGTGTGTGTGTGTGTGTGTGTGTGTGTGTGTGTGTGTTGGTCATGGGTCCTGAACTCTCTGGGCCTGGGCACTGTCCCTCAGCTCTTCAGCTGTAAGCCTAGCACTCCACCACTTGAGTTGCAGCTCCACATCTGGCTTTTTCTGCTTATGTAGTACTGAGGAATGGAACCCAGGGCCTCATGCATGCAAGGCAAGCACTCTATCACTGAGCCATCTTCCCAGCCCCAAGGTACTGTTTTTTTATTTTTTTAAGGATAACTCTTCACTGGATGACTATGTGATAGCTTACATGAAAAACCACTTCACACATAGGGAAACTATGGCTTAGCAATGTTGAGTTGTCTAAAATCAATCTGTTAAATGGTGGAGACAAGGGTCTGAATGCAGATGGATTCAGCTATTCTGCTGCAATGTGGTCATTTGAGGTTTTCAGTATCATAGTTGAGCAGGTTGTTGACTAATGAGTTGTGTAGCTAAAGAGCAATTGGTATGGAAATACAGGCTGCCATTCACTTGACAATCTTCTATAGATGGGACAAAGTGTACAGAGGGACTAGGGTAGCCATCGGTATTTTTCAGAAACTGCCTTTGTACTATTTTGAAGTTCTACTTTATCCTTTAAGTTTTAATTTCCTTAACAGTACGTATATGCCCGTATGTGTGTGTGTATGTATGTGTAGGTTTTGTTTTTGAAGAGCAAAAGCTCTTTTGATGAAATCCAATTTGTTAAATATTTTATGCTCTATGTATCTTGTCCATGAAATTTGCTTATCCAAGTTCATAATTAAAAGTTCTTTTTTTGTTGTTGTTGGTTGTTGTTGTTGGTCATGGGGCTTGAACTCTGGACCTGAGCACTGTCCCTCAGCTCTTCAGCTCAAGGCTAGCACTCTACCACTTGAGCTACAGCGCCACTTCCAGTTTTTACTGTGAATAATTGGAATAAGAGTCTCACAGACTTTCCTGCCCAGGCAGGCTGGCTTTGAACCCATATCCTCAGATCTCAGCCTCCTAAGTAGCTAGGATTACAAGCCTGAGTCACTGGTGCCTGGCTTTGATGTATTTTTTCATATGGTGTGAGGTACAGATGAGATTCTTACCCCCCCCACCCCCGTTTTTCCTTCTCTTTCCTTTTGATATGTTGATGTCCCAGCACCCTGAGTTGAAAATGCCATTCTTCCCATAGAATTATCTAGATTCAACTTACCAAGAATCACTTAAACATTTGTGCAAATATTTTATGTCTATTGAGATATGCCTTGTATTTTCCTGTACTATCTTGATAATCTTTATAAGTTTTGGACTTAGATGTTTGTAGTCTTCCAACTTCACCTTTTAAAATGTTTTAGCTGTTTTAAATTTACATTGTAATTAATATACATTTTAGAATCAGCTTGTCATTTTCTACAAAAAAAATGCTGGATTTTTTTTTTTTTTTTTGGCAATACCTGATTTGACCTCAGACCTATACATTTTTTTTTAATAGTTCACATTGTACCCACTCCTTGTGTGTTATGTTTTTGTTTTTTAAGAGACAGTCTTTCTCCATGGCTGGCTTTGAACTCCTGGGCTCAAGTGATCCTTTTGTCTCAGTCTCACGAGTAGCAGGGATGATACTACAATGCCTGGCAAAGGGTTTCATTTAAGAATCTAGTGATGCGGACTGGGAAGGTGGCTCAGTGGTAGAGTACTTGCATTGCATGCATGAGGCCCTGGGTTCCATTTCTCAGTACCACATAAGCAGAAAAAGCCGGATGTGGAGCTCTGACTCAAGTGGTAGAGTGCTAGGCTTACAGCTGAAGAGCTGAGGGACAGTGCCTAGGCCCAGAGTTCAGGACCCACGACTGACCAAAAAAAAAAATTAGTAACACAAAAGTGAAGACTGCTAAATTTTAGCTGTTCAGATTCTTTTTTTTCACTGGAGTTATATTCTGTTGCTTGAAATAGTTATTTTCTTGAATCTTGAAAAAAAAATTTAAACAAGATTTTGGTTGAAAATTGGACAACTTTTATGTCTTATCAAATTTAATTTTCTTTTTTTTTGAAGAATATTTTAAAGTTATTGCATTTTTCGTTTATTCACATTGATATTTGAGAAAATGAAGCTGGATGTGGTAGTACAAGTCTGTATCTCTCTGCATTTGGAAAGTGAGATCAGAAGGATAGAGAATTTGAGGCCAGCTTGGGCTATGTAGCAAGACCTTGTCTCAAGAAACAAAAAGTGAAAAACCTTACCAAAGCAAAAACAAAATACTGAAGAATTATTGGATTCTTCATTTATTTATGATTTTCCCCAGTTTTTGTATTCCTGTTACTTAATTCAGATGTTTTGAGTAAGTGATAATGTCAAGCATTAAAAGTAGCTCTTAGTTGTGGAGCACCCTTGGCTCAAGCCTGTAATCCTAGCTACACAGGAGGCTGAGATCTGAAGATCTTGGTTTAAAGCCAGTCCTGGCAGGAAAGTCTGTGAAACTCTTTTTTTTAAAATTTATTTTCATTATTTATTATATTTTTTTGGAGGGGTCCTGTCATGGGGCCTGAACTCTGGGCCTGGGCGCTGTCCCTCAGCTCTTCAGCTCAAGGCTAGCACTCTACCACTTGAGCCACAGCGCCACTTCCGGCTTTTTTCTTTTTGCTTATGTGGTGCTGAGGAATCGAACCCAGGGCCTCATGCATGCAAGGCAAGTGCTCTACCACTGAGCCACCTTCCCAGCCCCTCTGTGAGATTCTTATCTCCAATTAACCACCAAAAAAACCCTACCAAAACTAGAAGTGGAGCTGATGCACAAGTGGTAGCAAGCCTTGAGCAAAAAAAAGCTAGAGCTGGGCACTGGTGGCTCATGCCTGTATCCTAGCTACTCAGGAGGCTGAGACCTGAGAATTGATGCTCAAAGCCAGACCGGGCAGGAAAATCTTGTGAAACCCTTATCTCCAATAAACCACCAGAAAACCATAAGTGGTGCTGTAGCTCAAGTGGTAGAGTGCTAACCTTGAGCTTAAGAGCAGAGGAAAAGCACTCAGGCCCAGTGTTCAAACCCCATAACTGACAAAAAAAAAAGGCTAGTTCTAGCATATACACAAACAAACAAAAAAAATAGACCTTAAATGACAACTTCTTTTTCTCATTACTCAATTGAATTAACAGGACATGGAATGTGTGAAATTTTTATGGAGTCTGGTCCATGGAAACTCTTAGTCCCTAAATTTAAAAGTTGAGTATTGTTGAAGGCAATCATTAACACTAATTAATTTGTCTGAGATGCTATTAAGATTTGTGATAATCGGAAAAAGTATGAGTTGTAGTCTAAATATGGAATTATGTTAGAATCACAAGGTTGAGAGAAGTTGTGTTCTGGTCTTTGTGGCTCTGTATAAAGTCACTTAATTACTTTACTATTTATTTATTTATTTATTTATTGTCCAGTCGTGGGGCCTGAACTCTGGGCCTGGGCACTGTCCCTCAGCTCTTCAGCTCAAGGCTGACACTACCACTTGAGCCACAGCTCCACTTCCGGCTTTTTGTCTTTTTGCTTATGTGGTGCTGGGGAATCGAACCCAGGGCCTCATGCATGCAAGGCAAGCGCTCTGCCACTGAGCCACCTTCCCAGCCCTACTCTTTGTTTATTAAATACTGCTATTTAAATAACAACAGCTAACATGCCTATATGTAAATCAATAACTAATATTTATTGATTTTTTTCTGTATGACACACTGAATAATTTTTACTTGAGTTATTAGACAATCCTTGTGAACTATTAATCATCATTAGACCAATACAGCATTTTTATGATGAGCTATTTTTAGCCTGATTGAGTTGTGTTGCTAATGTTTTGTAGAACGTCTGTTTGTAAACATTTCTGCTGTCTATTTAAGTTGATTTTTCTAACTATCACAGTCAAGGCATTTAATTTTTTTTCTGTATTGTAAAATTGCAGTATGTTTGAAGTAAGAGGATGTAAGTTTGATGACAGTCTGGGCTACAGGAGTTGGATGCCAGCCTGGACTTTGTCTCACAATACCTTATCTCCTCATTAAATAATTATAAAGCTGGGTGCCAGTGGCTTGCCTGTAATCCTAGCTACTCAGGAGGCTGACATCTGAGGATCACCATTTGAAGCCAGCCCAAAAAAGAAAGTCTGTGAGACTTTTATCTCCAATTAGTCACAAAATCTAGATGTAGAGCTGTGGCTCAAGTGGTAGAGCACAAGCCTTGAGTGAAAAAGCTCAGAGGAAGCTAGAGCTAGTCAGATTTGAGTGTGCACTGGGTCTGAATGTGGGTCAGAGCAAGGCTTCAATTTTAAAGTCTGCATTTTTGTTTTTGTTGATTCAATAGCATCATTATAAACAGAAATATAATGTTGAGTGGCATAAGCATTTTGTTTGTGCCTGGGTGTGTTTTGGTTGGGAGGTAAGGGAGAGAATGGGGATGATGCAGTTGTTAGGGAAAAAATAAGAACAGAGGGTATTTTTTTCACTGTATTTATTTGAGATTGATAGACACATTGTTTTTATAATTAACTTTTTTTTTTCTTTCTGTTCTGGTGATTTGAACCTCTGGCTTTATGCATGTTCATAAAGCTATATCATACCCAGCCAACAATAACATGCTTTGCAGTACATGGACATTGTGGAGTGGCTGTCTCTTTTTGTGATTCCTTGAGTACTTCCTTTTGCAGTAATCAATAGGTATCAGTAATATAAGTGTTGGTAGGAGAGCTATTTATTTAGCAATTCAGGTGTAACAATAAAAATACCAGCAGAAATAGAGCCCAGAAAACAGTTTGCACTTGTGATTTTTAGTTTTTATTTTATTTAATTTTATTTTTTGGGTCTGGTCGTGGGGCCTGAACTCTGGGCCTGGACACTGTCCCCCAGCTCTTCAGCTGAAGGCTAGTGCTCTACCACTTGAGCCACAGCGCCACTTCTGGCTTTTTTCTTTTTGCTTATGTGGTGCTGAGGAATCAAACCCAGGGTCTCAGGTATGCAAGGCTAGTGCTCTACTACTGAGCCACCTTCCCAGCCCTGTGATTTTTATTTTTTATGATTAACATTCCTTAATTGTACAAAGTTTCCAAACATGCATATAATGTATTTTAATCATAAGCACCCTATTTCCCTCCTCCCCTCTACTCCTTCGTGGGGCTTGAACTCTGGGCTGGGCAGTGTTCCTGAGCATTTCAGCTCAAGGCAAGCACTCTACCACTTGCCAATTTTCTGGTGGTATTTTTTTGCCAATCCTGGGGCTTGAACTCAGGGTCTTGGCACTGACCCTGAGCTTCTTTGCTCAAGGCTAGCACTTGAGCCACAGTGCCACTTCTGGCCTTTTCTGTTTATGTGGTATTGAGGAATCGAACCCAGGGCTTCATGTGTGTGAGGCAAGCACTCTACCACTAAGCCACATTCCCAGCCTCCCTAGTAGTTAATTGGATATAAGAATCTCATGGACTTTACTGCCCAGGATGGCTTTTAACCGTGATACTCAGATCTCAGCCTTCTGAGTAACCAGGATTGTAGGCGTGAGCCACCAGTGCCCAGCCTTCCTTTCTTTTTGGTGGCACTGGAGGTTGAACCCAGGGCCTCATGCTTGCTCAGTTTGTTTGATTGAATGGTTGGCTGGTACTCTACCACTTGAATTGCACCTCCAGCCAAGTGTTTTTGCTTGTTATTTTGGAGCTATTGTCTTGTATGAACTTTTCTGCCTGGCTGGCTTTAAACTGTAGTCCTCCAGATCTCAGTCTCCTGAGTAACTAGAGCTATAGCCACTTGCACCTGTCTACACTGGTTATTTTATTTCTTTTTATTTTCTTTTTTTTTTTTTGAGTCCGGTCGTGGGGCCTGAACTCTGTCCCTCAGCTCTTCAGCTCAAGGCTAGCACTCTACCACTTGAGCCACAGCGCCACTTCCGGCTTTTTTCTTTTTGCTTATGTGGTGCTGAGGAATCGAACCAAGGGCCTCATGCATGCAAGGCAAGCACTCTACCACTGAGCCACCTTCCCAGCCCCTACACTGGTTATTTTTGAGTCAGGGTTTTGCTATTTTGTCTGGTTGTGTATCTGAGGGGATGTTTATTTAGCCTTCCCATCGTAGCTAGGAGAACAGGCTTGTGCCACTGTGCCCAATTCTTGGATGAGGAAGGGGTCAATTCTGTCAGGGCTTGGCTCAAATCATGATCTTCCCCATCTCAGCCTCCCAACTAACTATGATTACAAGCATGACTGGCACTGGTTTTTATTCTTTTCTATCCCTCCTTCCCCCTTCCATATACCTAATAGTCAGCTGTTTTACCATCAAGTTTGAATTTCCCTTCCATACCTTCCACATGTGAGAAAACATGTTTTGTTTTTATTTTTTGTCAGTTGTGGAGCTTGAACTCTGGGCTGAGGTGCTATCCCTGGGTACTGTCCCTTTTTGCTCATGGCTAGCACTCTACCACTTGAGTCACAGCTCAACTTCTGGCTTTATCTGTGATTAATTGGAGTTAAGATTCTCATGGACTTTGCTGCCTGGGCTGACTTTGAACTGCGATCCTCAGATCTCAGCTAGGATGACAGGTGTGAGCACCTGGTACCCAGTAATAAACATGTCCTTTTGAGACTATTCTATTTTACTTAACATGATGATCTTATTTCATTTGTTTTCTGCAAATGATGTAATTTCATTACTGTTATTATTGTGGGGTGTGTGTGTGTGTATGTGTGCACACGCACATGTGCTGGGATTGGGGCTTGAACTCAGGGCCTGGGTGCTGGGCCTTAGCCCTCTTTGCTAAGGCTGGCATTCTACTACTTGAGCCACAGTTTCACTTCCAGCTTTTGATGGTTAACTGGAAATAATAATCTCACAGACTTTTCTTCCTAAAGTGGCTTTGGACCAGGATCCTCAGATCTCAGCCTTCTGAGTAGATAGAATTACAGGTGTGAGCCACTTGTGTAGCCTAATTTTATAGTTATATAAAGGCTGAATAAAACTCTACTGTGTATATATACAACATTTTCTTTAAATCTGTTCATCCACTGAAGTAGTTGGGCTGCTTCCACAACACAGATGTTGTGAAAAGTGCTGAAGTAAATGTGAGTGTGCACGTGTCTCTGTTGTGTGCTGACCTAGATTCCTTCATGTATGTAGCCAGAGTGGTATAGCTGAATCATAGGAAAATTCTGTTTTTAAATTTTTTGAGCAAACGATGCTGATTTCCATAGTAGTTGGCCAAATGTATACCAACAGGGGCTGGGAAGGTGGCTCTAGTAGAGTGCTTGCCTCGTATGCATGAGGCCCTGGGTTTGATTCCTCAGCACCCACATAAGCAGAAAAAGCCAGAAGTGGCTCAAGTGGTAGAGCGCTAGCCTTGAGCTGAAGAGCTGAGGGACAGTGCCCAGGCCCAGAGTTCAGGCCCCACGACCGGCCTAAAAAACCAAAAATGTATACCAACAGTACATAAGGGTTCCTTTTCACACACCCTCCCCATCTTCCTCAAAATTGCCTTTTTTCTCCCTTGATGATAGTATTCTAGAGTTGAGGTGAAATCTCATCGTGGTGATTGGTCCTTCTATCCTTCCTCCCTCCCTCCCCCATCTCTCTTCTTGTCTTTCTGTCTCTCTCCCTGTTTCTCCCTCCCTCCCTCTCTCCCTCTGTCTCTCTGTCTCTCTTCATGCTGATACTAGAATTGAACTCAGGACCTCAAGTTTTCACTTGGCTTTCTCTCATGGCTGGTGCTCTGCCACTTGATCTATGCCTATGGTTGTGGCCTTTTTAATTGGAGATAAGAATTTGTTATATTTGCCTGGGTTGGCTTTGAAACATGATCCCCAGATCATAGCCTCCTAAATAGCTAGGATTATAGATGTGAGCCATTGGCATCAATGTAGTAGGTTTTTGTTTGTTTGTTTGTTTTTGGGTTGTGGGGCTTGAACACTGGGCAAGGACACTGACCCTGAGCTCTTCAGCTCAAGGCAAGTGCTCTACCACTTGAGCTACTTCGTCACTTCCCGTTAATTGGAGATAAGAGTCTCATGGACTTTCCTACCTGGGTTTGCTTTGCAATCCTCAGATCTCACTCTTCTGAGTAGCTAGGGTTACAGGTTTGAGCCACTGGTGCCCAGCTTTGTGTATTATCTTAATGAAGTGTCTTGCCTTGTTTTAAACTTAGAATTTGCTAGAATAGATTGGAATTTTTAGAGTATCTATTGGCTTTATTTTTGTAACTTAATTTATAAACAAAAATTTAAACTAGTGTATATATTTTTTTTTAGTTTCTCTTCAGCAACGAGTAGCAGAATTGGAAAAAATTAATGCAGAATTTTTACGTGCACAACAGCAGCTTGAGCAAGAATTTAATCAAAAAAGAGCAAAATTTAAGGAACTGTATTTGGCTAAAGAGGGTAAGTTTATAATTTGCTCCTTAACCTCCATGCTATAACTGTTCTAAAATGTTTAGTATTTTGGTAGTGTCATGTTAATTTTATCACTGAATAAACCTTGGTTTTATATATTTTTATAATGTGTGGTGGCAGAATACTATTTAGAAGCTAGAGTTATCAGTGGAATTGAAAAGCTAGTTGAAAATGCATATTTTGACTTCTCCTTTTTTACTGTTAAGTGCTGATTAAGTGCTGACAGTTAATTATACTGTTCTGAATAGTTCTTAGACATGAGGCTTTCAGCACTGGAGATACAGTCCTGAGCAAACCGGGATTGATGATACTCTAATAGTAGATTTAGCTATGATATGTTAAACTAACATTTGGTAGAATTAATTCAACAAATGTTTAGTTATTTAGTAAATACTTAAGTCCTTACTGTGAAGCAGAAATTGTATTTAGGTGCTGAGTAGACAAAGGAGCAATATTCAGTGGTTCTTCAAGGTATAGAAATCATATGTAGGGCTGGGAAGGTGGCTCAGTAGTAGAGTGCTTGCCTTGTACCCATGAGGCCCTGGGTCGATTCCTCAGCACCACATAAGCAGAAAAAGCCAGAAGTGGCGCTGTGGCACAAGTGGTAGAGCGCTAGCCTGGAGTTGAAGAGCTGAAGGACAGCGCCCAGGCCCAGAGTTCAGGCCCCTCAACCGACAAAAAAGAAAAAAGAAATCAGATGTAGAACAATAAGCTATATTGAAATAAGCTTATATTGAACATAAGCTATTGAAAAGGAGAGCATACTTCCATCATAGGGGAAACAAAGGAGGAGGCAACAATGCTTAATATGTACTCATTACCTTGCTCATGTAATTGTAATCCCTCTGTACGGTATTTTCACAAAAAAGTTATTATTTAAAAAAAAGAAAAGTAAACTTTTTTTAAAAAATGGAAAGCATGTAAGGCAAACACATGAGTGAATATGATGGGGGATTTACTTTGGAGAATCATGGGAGATGTTTACATTTTGAGTATTGGCCTAGAATGATCTAGATATGGTTTCTATAGTCCTCTAGAGCCCAGGGCCATGTACATGTTGGGTAAGTAAAATACCACCGAGCTACTGTCTCTCTTTTAAAATTTGTTTCCACCATGGATGGATAAGGTACTGCAGTGGTATGCTATTGTCAGGATGTGATATAGTCTACATTTAATGTATATGGATAAGATCTTGGTGGTAGTGTTTCCTTTAAGTTCAAGTCTAATATGATACAAGTTAATGTCATGATTTTTTTCTTTTTATCTATACCAGGATCTCTAATAGCTGTATCATCCTCTCACAGCTTTTTTCCCTTCATTTTTTATTATCCAATAAATTGAAGTTACTCTTGTCCGAAGCCTATTTGATTTGCTTTTTGTATTTCTTTATTCAGAAATAAAATGATTGCATTTCCAATTTTTCTTGAGCTTAGCTGTCTTTTCTGTAAAATTCAGAAAAATATAACATCTCCTTTCTGATATCATTATCAATTGTAGTTTTAAAATTTCTAAATTGTATAGCTTACAAAATAGGTTACTAAATAAAACATACTTGGTTTGCCAGGTGCTGGTGGCTCATGCCTGTAATTCTGGCTACTCAGGAAGCTGGGATTTGAAGATTGCCCCTTGAAGCCAGTCCAGACTGGAGTCTATGAGATTCTTTTTTTTTTTTTTTTTTGGGGGGGGGGGGCGGTGGGTCCAGTCGTGGGACCTGAACTCTGGGCCTGGGCACTGTCCCTCAGCTCTTCAGCTCAAGGCTAGCGCTCTACCACTTGAGCTACATTGCCACTTCCGGCTTTTTTCTTTTTGCTTATGTGGTGCTGAGGAATCAAACCCAGGGCCTCATGCATGCAAGGCAAGCGCTCTACCACTGAGCCACCTTCCCAGCCCCTCTTTCTTTTTCTTTTTTTTTTTTTTTAAATGAGATTCTTATCTACAATTAACCACCAAAGAAACCAGAAGTGGAGCTGTGGCTCAAGGTTAGAGTACTGGCCTTGAGCACAAAAGCTTGAGACAGTGTCCAGGACTGGCACACAAAAAATAAACAAAAGTCATACTTAATATGGTAAAATTACCTTAGACATTCAGATCTAATAGGATCAATCTTTGCTGTACTGCTGTATCTTTTTTTTTTTTTTGACAGTTCGGGGGCTTGAACTCAGGGCCTGGGCACTGTCCCTGAGCTTCTTTTGCTCAAGGCTAGCATTCTACCACTTGATCCACAGTGCCACTTTCAGCTTTCTCTGCTTATGTGGTACTAAAGAATCGAATCCAGAGCTTCACGCATAGTAGGCAAGCACTCTACCACTAAGCCACATTCCCGGACCCTGTACTGTTTTATCTTTATTATCTGAAGTTCTCAATAAACTTAGCTTGTTAAAGATAGTAGTTGAGGTATCTTTTTACATAATTACAGAATTATATGATCCTTTTGAAGAGTTTTTAGTGTCATTCCTAAAGGCACTGCATGTTTTATGAGGTCAGTGATACTTAGTTTTTGTCTTGACTCCTTAACTACATCATAATAAAAAAGATTTCTTCTAAACACCATTTTATGTTACTGAACCTACTTAAAGTCTGAACCTACTAACTTATGATTGCACAGGTATTTACAGTATATAATGTGGTTCTGATGTGCTCAGCAGTCTTCGTTTTATCTTTCAACAAGCTAGGTCAAGGTAATCTTGAAAGTTTAAATACTGTTTTGTTTTGGATTTGACTTACTATTTTGTTCTGGTTTTGAGTTTTGGGCCTTACACTTAGGCAAGCACTCTTAACACTTGAACTATACTTCTAGTCCTCACTGTTGTAATAGTTGTATTTGTTACTTGTTTGGAGTTCTGTATAGCTGATAAATAAGCACAAACTAATGAAAATTGCTAATAAATGTTTTGAAGTTGACATTATTATGAGTTTTTTCTGGGCCAGCCTTGAACTGCAGTCTTCCTGATCTCTCCCTCTGTGGTAATTACAGTTATGAGTCACTGTGTCCATTTAAGTCCAATACTACTTGAGCCACATCCCTTTTGGCTTTAGTTATATTCTGGCCAGCCTGGAATCACCCATAGTCATCTTTGTTGTTGTTGTTGTTCATGGGGCTTGAACTCTTGGGCCTGGGCACTGTCCCTGAGCTCTTCAGCTCAAGGCTACTGCTCTACCACTTGAGCCACAGGGCCACTTCTGGTTTTCTGGTGGTTAATTGGAGATAAGGGTCTATGGACTTTCCTGCCTGGGCTGGCTTTGAACTACAATTCTCAGATCTCAGCCTCCTGAGTAGCTAGAATTATAAGCATGAACAACAAATGCCCAGCCATATAGTTGGGATGACAGGCACATTACAGTCACTATGTCCTGCTTTTACTGATTGATCTGGGATCTCACAAACTTTTTGCTTGGACTGACCTTGAACCATGTTTCTCCAATATCTGTCTACCATGTAGTTAGGGGTTATATATGTGAGCCATCCTGATGGCAATAGTTACGAATTTATGTATTTAGCAAAGTAACCTTGACATGTTGTCAAGGAAAAACTTGTGATAGAATCACAGGAGCAATAGATAAATACATACATAGGAGATGTTTAACAGTCTTTTTTTTTTTTTTTTGGTCCGTTCGTGGGGCCTGAACTCTGGGCCTGGGCGCTGTCCCTCAGCTCTTCAGCTCAAGGCTAGCGCTCTACCATTTGAGCCACAGCGCCACTTCCGGCTTTGCTTATGTGCTGCTGAGGAATCGAACCCAGGGCCTCATGCATGCAAGGCAAGCGTTCTACCACTGAGCCACCTTCCCAGCCCCATGTTTAACAGTCTTATCAATTGCTAGCTCAAGTACAAGCAAGATTGTCTGGCATGGTAGCACATTGCTGTAATCCCAGGTTATTTGGGAGACAGGCAGGATTGTGAGTTTGAGGCTAGCCTAAGTAAGGTAGCTTGACCCTCTCTCAAAACAAAACTAAAAAGCTAGGGTGGAAGTGGGATGGAAGTGCGCATAGCTCAAGTGTAGAGTGCTTGCCTAGCAAGTGCAAGGCCCTGGGTTCAGGGCCAAAAAAAAAAAAAAAAAAGCTGGGCACTGGTGATTCATCCCTGTAATCCTAGCTACTAAGGATCTGAGGGTCATGGTTCAAAGCAAGCCTGGTCAGGAGAGTCTGTGAGACTCTTGTTTTTGTTTTGTTGGTCATGGGGCTTGAACTCTGGGCCTGGGCGCTGTCCCTCAGCTCTTCAGCTCAAGGCGAGCGCTCTACCACTTGAGCTACAGCGCCACTTCCGGTTTTCTAGTGGTTTATTGGAGATAGGAGTCTCACGGTCTTTCCCGCTTGGGCTGGCTTTGAACCGCGATTCTCAGATCTCAGCCTCCTGAGTAGCTAGGATTACAGGCGTGAGCCACCGGCGCCCGGCTTCTGTGAGACTCTTATATCCAATTAACCACCAGAAAACTGGAAGTGGAACTGTGGTTCAAAATGCCAGAGCACTGACCTTGAGCAAAAAGAGCTCAGGGATGGTGCCCAGGCCCTGAGTTCAGTCAAGCCCCACAACTAACCGGAAAAAAAGAGTAAGAATTTGGTAGGGGGGGGGAGAGGCAGGGATGGGAAGGGGAAATTAAGGAGGAGGAGGCAACAATGCTTGATAAGAAATGTACTCATTACCTTGCTCATGTAATTGTAACCCCTCTGTATGGTATTTTCATAATAAAAAGAACTTATTAATTAAAAAAATTAAAATATGGGGCTGGGAAGGTGGCTCAGTGGTAGAGTGCTTGCCTTGCATGCCTGAGGCCCTGGGTTCGAGTCCTCAGCACCACATAAGCAAAAAGAAAAAAGCCGGAAGTGGCTCTGTGGCTCAAGTGGTAGAGCGCTAGCCTTGAGCTGAAGAGCTAAGGGACAGCGCCCAGGCCCAGAGTTCAGTCCCCACGACCGGAACCCCCCCCCAAAAAAAAAAAATTTAAAAAAAGTAAGAAAAAGATAATTGTGTTGAGTAATAGAATTTAAAATGTGG